TCCTTCCAAAACCAAACTTTTTAACCCAGATTAAAATAGTCAAAAAAATCAAAAAGGCAACCCATTTTCCAAACCAACCCTTAATTAATAATAATTTATCATAATGCATTGTATTTAAATGGATAAAGAGAAAATGTGAGATTTAAAGACAGTATCACGGATTCGTATTTCTTAATCAATCATAATTTATTGTGATGCATTGCATTTCAATGGGTATGGAGACAACCGTGAGATTTGAAGATAGAGGTTGTTTGGATAAGGGTGCTCAAAAACTTTTTCAAATGTAGATTTCAATCAAAAGGGCTGATCTTCCTCACCTCTATCCACAAATGGATTGGTAGTTGAATAAGTTGATTTCTAGCTTTATGTCCCTCTCTTTTAGTTATTTCATTATATTCATTCACACGTAGCCATGTGCACATGACATATATGCACAATTTGACGTCATATAAACAAATTTTACAATCTTTTCTTTGTGATATTTATCATCTTAAAAAAATGGACCATATTTTGCATTCTAAATTTCTTTTTTATATATTTTTAAAATAAACTTATCCGTACTTTGTATAGCATTGTCTTTTAATCAATAAGCAAACCAGTAACTCCATGCCTCTCGTTTAAAAGGAAACTTTAAGAATACAAAAATCAAAATAAGGAAACAATCATAAACTTGAGATAAAGACTGGGCATGTGGTAAGACCCAAATGTAATTTGTTAAAGTTGGAAATCTCATTTTACGAGTGAAATTGGTGTATTGTAGGATTAATTTGTACTCATATTAATTATTTGAATCGTTCATCTTATATGACAAGTTTAGAAGAATATTCATGTAAAAATTTTGATTAATTACACATAAGTAATCAAATAATCAAATCACATATATTATAACACACGGACGGTCAATTCTTAAAAATATGTAAGCTCTACAGATAAAACTAATCTAATGGTATGACAATCAATATTGAATTAACTTAATTTTTTACACAAATAATTTTTTTTAGTTAGCTTGTATAAGATGAACTATTTAGATCACAAAAACAAATCCAAATTTATTCAATAATAGGTCAACTTTACCGTGAAATTAAGATCTCCAACTTTAACAAATTTAGGTCTCGTTTGGTAAGTGGCTTTTTTAGCCAAAAAGTCACTAAAAAAATCAAAGATTCTCTTTTCTCTCTACTTTTTGCACATCTTTTCGTAAAAAGTCAAAAAGTCATCCTAAATATACTAGTTTTTTTTACATTACATTTTAGCCAAAAAACTAAAAAGTTACTAAAAAAATCTGTTCCCAAACGAAGCCTTAGACTCCAAATGTAGTGGCTCTCATCCCTTATCTTACCTACCGAGAATTATTAAATATTTTCGAAATATTACGTGTCTATATTCTCTAATCAATTATCATTTAATATGCTTCTTCATATTCCCTAATCACCTAACACAATACCCCACCTATTCACTTTCTCTACCAATTAAAATATTATAAAATACCACGTATTCATATTTTGAAATTACTGAATAATTACCCTACGTATATGTGTGATTCTTTCTATGTTCAAAATTTTGTAACGTCCTTCTAAAATGCTATGCTAACAATTTTATCATTGTTTTATAATAACTTTGGTATCCTAGTATTAATAAATTTCCAAATGTTCAGCTTAGATAATTAATGAGAATTAAAGGTTAGGTTGATTTTTTTTTAAGGGAATGGCTTATGTCCAGTTTTTAATCGGACTGGACTGTACTGTTGGGCCAGTGAAGGCCCACCACGGATCCCGTTTTGATAATCTGAACCGTTCAATGTGTATAACTCGTCGAGTACTATATGCCTGTAAAAAATCACGTTGATCGGATATCGATAGCTATGTGATCAAAACAAATTTTTGTCAACCGTTAATTTATTCACCATTCATTTTTTTATACAAAACTAATTTGATCACATAGCTATCGATATTCGATTAACGTGATTATTTATAGGTATAACCTAACCCACTATCACCTCCACTACACCTACTACCACATTTTCTTCTATATATAGATTGTATAGGAATTGTAATTAATGCATCTTGTAATCTATCAATCAAGACATCAATCAATAATACATAAATTCTTACAGATCACATAGCTATCGATATTCGATTAACGTGATTTTTTATAGGTATATAGTACTCGACGATTTTTATACATTGAACGGTTCAGATTATTAAAACGGGACCCGTGGTGAGTCCCCACGAATCCAACAATATGGTCCAATCCGATTAAGTACTGGACAGAAGCCATGCCTTTTTTTTTATAACTTATCTCCTATGAAACTTGAAAAAATTAATTCAATAAATGTTATAATATAAAAGAATTATACTGACATTTTTAAGCAAGCCTACTAATAATGCAAATAGTGTATGGATATATACATAATCCAAGGTAAGATATATATATATATATATATTTATTTATATATATATATATATTTAATTATTAAAGAGATTATAATATTGTTTTTATGCAAATTAGATCATTTTCAAGGATTATTCAAACCTTTTATTAAATTTGAATTTAATAAAAAAATAGCTCATTTTTCTATTTCAACTGTTTTATCAAATAAGTATCAAATCAAGAATTTTAATTTTTCTTGTATCAAACTGAGAATTAACGTACCTTTTATCAAATCACTGTTCATTACTATTGTCGAATGTCCTCCCAGATATTCCTCCGGATATCCATCCGGTCGTTCCTCAAATGACCACCTAAAAGTAAAAATTTATGAAAAAATTATACTGACCGGTCGTTTGCTAGGTTGACTAGTGATTTAATGAAACTCCAAAACTCTTTGTTTAAATAATTGATATAAAAAAAACTTTTACTTAAATTTTTATTTAAATTTAATAAAAAATTGATGTACTATCGAAGATGCTCTTACCAATTGTAGAATTGATGACAAGGAATAAAATATTAAGAAAATGTAATATAACTATGTAATAATTTATGAGATTTATAATATTTTTTTAATCTTAAAAGAGATTACTATAAAGGTGACCCTACCTACATACTAAACGGTTTAAATTGATTGAAATTGATTAAACGGTCAAAAGTTCTAGTAACTCGTGCACGAAAGAGAGGACTTTGATTTTAGGGATAATTATAATTTAATGTATTTTTTAAAAAATAATTATAAACATATAGAAAGCTTTTTTTTTGATAAATCTTATTTTGAAGAGTTTTATTTCATTCAATTTATATTTTTTTTTGACTATTTTACTAGATTTTATTTGAGGTAAGAAAACTAAAATATTTTCAATCTCTCCTGCCCCATTAATGTTGATTGTGTTATGTTTTGGTAGTTCCCATGACTATTCCTATTCCTCATATCTTCATCCCAAAAAAATCATTAACTACACACCACTATTTAATGTTAATATATTACACAAAAAATTAAACATAACTCTTTATTAATTGTTATTATGTTTTGATAGTTCTCATGTATCCAAATATTAATTGTATGTGATGACGTAAATGTTCACATAAGATGACGTGAATGTGAATGTTCACATTAGATGACGTGAATGTGAATGTTTATATCAGATGACGTGTGATAAATGTGATGTTAAGGTTCACATCAGTATTGCATCAAATTACACAACCATAAGTCTCAACTTTCATTTGAATATAAACATGACTGCACGTGATGAAGTGAATATTCACATTAGATGACTTGAATGTAAATATTCACATCATATGACGTAAATATGAATGTTCACATCAGATGACGTTGTGATAAATGTGATGTTAAGGTTCACATCAAATGAAAGAGAATATTCACATTATTTTTAATGTGTTGTCAATTAAAAATATATTCACATTATATAATAATATAAAACAATAACATCAATATTATTTAATTTGTGTATGAAATTTCCTATGTCTTGATCTTTTTACTTCTCCTCCTCCCCCAACATTAAATATCAATATTAAATATAAATGTATAAAAGTCTAAGAAAATAGTGTAAATCAAGAAAAAAAGACTTTATGAAATAAAATTATAAATACATGGGACTAAGTGGGTTAAAAAATTCTTTTATAAACTTCTTAGGTTAAAACACTTTTAAATGAGATTTATCAATAAAAATCCCTTAAAAATGATTTTATGATTTAATTATTAATGTTGATAAAATGTACCATTAATTTGTAATTATTTTTTGTAAAATACATCGATATGTAATTTCCTCTTGACTTTATCAACTCACATAATATATATATATATATTTCCAATGTTGTTTTAAATGAAAAAAAAATGAGAGAATGGGGACCATCTTCATTTAATTAAAATTAAGAAGTCAATTTCCAAAATTTATTTGCGTCTTTTCTCAATTGTTGTGAGTCATTTTCTCTCCAGGTTACCTTTTTCAATTATTATTATTATTTTAATTTCAAGTATTATTTACTCGAGAAATATAAAAATTAAATATATTTTATATAATTTTAAAAAGCACTAAAAATCAAAATAAGTAGAATTAAAAAGGTCAAAAAAATTTAAGAATAATGTTTGGGACCCTCTTTTGGGAGTCACCCCCTCACCCCCTTGTCACGTGGCGGGTGGTGATTGGAGGAGAGAAAAAAAAAGAAAAAGAAAAAGAAAATGTAACCAATGAAAGAGAAGGGGTCAAAGGGGGTGAAAGGAAAAGGGGATGAATCATTGTTGAAAAATTAATTTATAAAGTCAAAGTAGATGACATATGAAACTGTGGATAAGCCAAAATTCAAAAGGAAAAACAACTCCCTTATTATTGTCGATTACAAAAAGATAAGGACAACGTAATTTTAGTGGTAGAATAGAATTCGTTGACTGAAATTAGTTTACTTGCTGGCTAGACCCCCTAATTAAGGTCAAGTTGTGATTGATCAATCTTATCTTCAACATTATATTAATAAATAAATAAATAAATTTATATATATATATATATATATGAATTTCTCCAATAAAATATTATATAAGTAGCTCACTTCTTTATTTATTTGTAGTCTATTTTTTCACACATGCAAGCATAGGGTTTGCTTTGCAGGTACAATAGGAGAGAAAGATATATAAAGAAAAAAGAGAGATCTTTTTGTTGGAGGTTTGAACAATGGCTGGTGCAGTTATTGGTGATGCAGGAGCTGGAAAAAGGGCTCATCTTTATGAGTACAAAATCACTGCTTACTTCATCTTTGCTTGTATTGTTGCTGCTCTTGGAGGGTCTCTTTTTGGTTATGATCTTGGTGTTTCTGGTGAGTCTTTTTTCTTGATTAATTCATAATACATTGGTTCATAAAGTTTACAAAATTTTCTGATCTGGGTACTACTGATTTTGTGATTTCAAACATGAGTCTATATATATTAGCCATTTTTCTGATGTGGGTACTACTGGTTTTGTGATTTAAAACATAATTCATTACAATTTTGAGTTACCAACAATGGGTTGATGAGAATTTGCGTTCTGATTTGAGAACAAATGGTTGGGATTTCACATTTCTTTGGAGATAGTTTTCCCGAGAAAGTGTGGGAGATCAGAAAAAGTGATTTCATCTGAGAAAGGATATTCCTATTCACTGCCAGCCAGTTTTGACTAGAAGGCATCTTATTTTGTTTCTATTACTCCACTTTTTTCCAGCAACAAGACAAATTTAATTAAGTTTGATTATTTTCTTGCCAGTTGTCTTTTCTTTTCTTTTTTTTCTTTCCCATTTTGTTTGTTTATAGATTTGAAAGGAAGTGAATTACTAGGAGATAATACGAAAAATATAGTGCTTGCAATGTTGCTTGTAATTTTTTTTTTCGACATATTGGTCAATTAATTTTACTTAAATCAATTTTGGCAAAATTATCCCAATTCACTGATTTTTTTTTTTTTTTCTTTTTTTGATGAAAACATGTTTTTATATACTTGCATATATTTGAAAAGCAATGTATGAATTGTATGGGATTCCAGATCCAAATTCTTAAGGTTAATATTGCAAAATTATCCCAATTCATTGAACCCTTTTTTCTTGAAAACATGTTTTGTCATATTTACGCATTTGAAAAACAATGTATGAATGGAATTTTCGGCATTTGATTACAGGGGGAGTGACTTCCATGGATGATTTCTTAAAAGAATTCTTCCCAAAAGTGTACAGAAGAAAACAAGCCCATATCAATGAGACCGATTACTGTAAATATGACAACCAAATCCTCACTCTTTTCACTTCCTCTTTGTATTTTGCTGCCCTCGTCTCCACATTCGCAGCCTCAGTCCTAACCCGAAAGAAGGGAAGGAGGGCTAGCATCCTCTTCGGAGCAGTCAGTTTCTTTTTAGGAGGAATTGTCAACGCCTTTGCAAAGCACATTGCTGTGCTGATCATTGGCAGAACGCTTTTAGGTTTTGGCATTGGATTTGGAAACCAAGTAAGCTCGCTTTCCCCAATTTGAAAAGAAAATGAATGAAGGCCTTTTTTGGTGCAACTTATTGGGAAACTAGAGAAGAGAGACTTTTAGCTTATTAGCTTTCAGTTTACAAAAATTTACACCAAACTGGCCCAAACAGACGACATTTTGCAGTTTCTTGATATTTGCATTTGTTTTCTTGTTCTTGTAGGCAGTTCCCCTGTATCTTTCAGAAATGGCACCGCCAAAAGTGCGAGGAGCAGTGAACCAACTGTTTCAACTAACAACCTGCCTCGGGATTTTGGTAGCTAACTTCATCAACTATAGAACCGAAAAGATCCATCCTTGGGGATGGAGATTGTCCCTCGGTTTAGCCACAGTCCCAGCCACTTTGATGTTTGTTGGCGGTCTTTTCCTTCCCGAGACCCCCAATAGTCTTGTAGAACAAGGCAGATTAGAAGAAGGTAGACAAGTACTAGAGAAAGTGAGAGGTACCAAGAATGTTGATGCGGAGTTTGATGACCTCATTGATGCGAGCAACGCAGCACGGGCCATAAAACACCCATTCAGGAACCTCCTCAAGCGAAAGAATCGCCCACAGTTGGTTATCGGTGCTCTGGCAATACCTGCTTTCCAACAGCTCACTGGGAATAACTCCATACTCTTCTATGCCCCTGTAATATTCCAAAGTTTGGGGTTTGGTTCAGGAGCTGCTCTATACTCATCTACCATTACAAGCGCAGCCCTTGTTGTGGCTGCATTGATATCGATGGCATTCGTCGACAAGTTTGGTAGAAGAGCCTTCTTCTTGGAAGCTGGAGCTGAAATGATAGCCTGCAATGTAAATTTCACATTTTAGACACTTCCTTGCATGTTTTATTAGTATTGGCACTACAGTCATATATCAACCAGTATCAGGAATTTTGGACTTCCAATATTGATATTCACCGATATCGGACAGCAGTTGATACTGGATAGTATCAACCGATATTGGTAAATCTCGGTATGAAAAGTCCAAAATCTTGAAACGTGTCAGCCGATATTTAAAATTCTGATTCCATGTGAAACTTTTTGTTGAGAAATTGAGTACTAGCTCATGAGTATTTGATCTGTGCAGGTGGCTGTGGCCGTTACTTTGGCTCTGAAATTTGGGCAAGGCGTTGTGCTGCCAAAAGGGATTGGCATCTTCCTGGTGGTTGTCATTTGCCTATTCGTCTTGGCGTATGGACGGTCATGGGGTCCTCTGGGATGGTTAGTACCGAGCGAAATCTTCCCTTGGAAACAAGGTCAGCAGGCCAAAGCATGGTGGTCTGTGTCAACATGATCTTCACTGCTCTCATTGCGCAGTGTTTCCTTGCGGCTCTCTGCCACCTCAAGTATGGTATCTTCTTGCTGTTCGCTGGCTTGATTTGCATCATGAGTGCCTTCATCTTCTTTCTCTTGCCAGAAACAAAGCAAGTTCCCATAGAGGAGATACATTTTCTGTTTGAAAGTCATTGGTTCTGGAAGAGATATGTTACTGCTGCCGATGATGACGACGATAAGAAGGCTGAGCAGCAAGCGTGAGATCATGCGCTTCTGCCACGAAATCATTGTAACGAGTTGGGGATTCAAAGATTGTTCAGTTTCAAAATAATTTTTAATTTGGGGAATTTTTTTTCTTTTTTTGGCAATTTTGTGTGATTAATTAAAGGAAAATTTAAGACATGTTTTATTGAATCAGAAACTAGTTTATGTTTATCCTTATTTATTTGGGAAAATCAGAAAGGTACAGAAATTGTTCACAATATGGGAATTTCTTGCTGTTTGTGGGCTTTGATTGTCATCTTGATCAGAGCTTCATCTTCTCTCTCTAAAATTAACCAAATTATTTGAAATTGAGTTTTATTTGACTTGCTAAAAATTCATTTGAGATTGGCTTATTATGAAAACATATAAATATTGAGCACTTGATAATTTCTTGAACACAGTTTGAAATAAGCTTATATATGATATAATAACGTATAAATAAGTTTGGAAACTTATTTTACAAACCCTAGTTGTTTAAAAAAAATAAAAACTATTCTCAAAGAGATGCAAGTGAAATGTAGGAGAATTTTTTGTGGTACATTGAAGATTGTAGCCTGGGAAGAAAATAGATAAATTCATACCTACACTTAGTGAGACAAAATTATGATAATGTACAATGTTAATAAGAGAATTCAGAGGTTGCAAACATGATAGTGAACCTACAAAAGCAATTGATAAATTCATCTATTAAGAAGTTTTGAGTACAAGCACTAAGCTAGTAGCTTAGCAAGTTCATCCACTCTCAGGCTCCCTTTTGGAACCACACCTAGAAAATCTTTTTTTGCATCCTTCACTCTGTGATTTGTAGAACTCTTCGTCTCACTTCCTCTTCTCTCCACAACAATCACAACTTCTTTAACCTCCGAATCTTCAGTTTTTTGCTTCTCAAATTTCTGAACTACCACCTTCCTGCGTCTGTGCCTAAAAACAGGCCCAGGTGGAGCGGACTTGGCAAGTGCCACTGCCTTCCTATAAACAATATCAGAATCAAGACTAGAATCATCCACAACAATTGCAGTCCCGCTCTCGATAGCTTCCTTCCAGAGGACTAGAACACCCTCTGTCCAAGGTGAACTCAAACTTGTCAAGTCACTGAGATTTGGCACCATTTCTGATGTTTCTTGCAGCTTGCTACAAGTTACAGCTTGAACACCCTCTGTCCAAGGTGAACTCAAACTTGTCAAGTCACTGAGATTTGGCACCATTTCTGATGTTTCTTGCAGCTTGCTACAAGTTACAGGATCCACAGACAAATGGTTTAGCTGATTTTCACTGCTGCTAACGCTTTCAATGCTGATGTCAGATCCTGTTGACTCATCATTATCGGAGCCTGCACTATGTGATGCATGGCTTTCAATCGAAGGTTCAGTTAGTGTTGTTGGGATTTCACTTCCATAAATGTGACTTGTGTTTGTAACTGAATCAGAAACTAGAGATGACATATCATTTACTTCAGGTAATTGATCCTCAGCCTCTGTGCTTGCACCATCATGTTCCTCTATCAGCACATCTTCACTACACATGGGAGAAGTGCTTGTGCCGAGTGTTGCGAGACTAGTAAGCTCTCCTGATTTTGGAATAGACAATGCAGTTACTACTTGGCCTTCTAAATGTGATGCAATAGGAATTGCACTGTCGATTTCTGAATTCTTAGCATCGGAATCATCTACCAGCTTTGGGAAGGATGACTTCCAATCTCTTCCTCTCCACATAAGTATGTGTTCACGTTCAAATGAGATTAGCACACATGGGACAAGATCCTGCAATTAAAAAAGTGGTTGATACAAATGTGGTGGCGATATGACAAATAAATTTAACAACAGCGGAACCAGACCTTGAGTTTGGCACCTATTTTACGGTAGTCACTTCCATTCATTCCTTGACAATTAATTCGCACCAACTCACATGCTTCAAATGCCTCTCTGACATTTTTTACCAGGTCACAATAAACACCATTTTTCCCTGTAAGCATACAAAACTCTGGATCATCAGTACAGTTCTGAAAATTTTGGAAAATTTTCTATATCTATTCACGCAAATTTACTAAGCAGGACAGAACTAAGCATACCAAGCTTGCATATTGGTGTTAGTGAGCGCCCCTTCTTGCGCATTTCACTTGCTTCCTCCAATGTCAGGCCCTCTGGGGCCCTTTGAATCAACCTTGGGTATACAGGGGTAACTGGTTTCCACAACATAAGAGGAAAGAGAGGCCGAGTTTTATAGTTGTAATTTCTACCACGAAAAAGGTATATCACCCCTCCTCTACTATATATGATTTTCCCTCCTGTTTTCTCCTGCATAAATTTTTAGGAAGACTGAGACTTGTCATAGTGAAAACACGAAACAAAATAATAATGATGTGTACAAGTATGATGCATATATCGGTATAATAGCTTTGGTGCATCAAAAGTTATATTAGTCTCCTACAAAAAGTGCTTGTACAACATCTACCACATAAGGAAAACTGTAGCCAAGATAGAATGACAAAAATGAAAGAAAGCAAAACATTTTTTTTGCAGAGAAAAAAGGCCCAAAACAGTACAAATTGGAGAGACCAACCTCTAATTGTTGGTGCACATTGCGCATGTCCACTGTGCAAACACCTTTACATTTTATCTTGCACACCCTCTTCCGCTTCCAAAGTGCATGGATGTTATCCAACATGTTGTGTGTCAAGCCATCTCTTCCTAAAAAGAGAACCAGCAAATAAAGTTAATGCAATACTACCATATCAAGGAAGACATATAAACCCACAATGCTTAGAAGCTACTCATTATATTAACCCACAAACAAAACATTTCTGAAAAAAGAAACCCTGATGGTAACAAATCCATACAACCCACATTGATTCCTCATTACAGCAACACCAAAAGGCATATGAGTATAGCATATCCGCATTCAAATTCCTCATAACACTAGCAGAGAATGGCATTTAGCTAACACTCCATTTGTTTCTGTAAAACATTTTTTTGCAAATTCTGGCTATTGTTATGAGGGAAAATGTTTTCGATCAATGGAAAACAAGCTTATTTGTATAGAATGTTTGTCGCTTTTGAAAGGTACAAAACATTTTCCGGATTAAAGTTTTACCAATGCCACCACACTACCAGCACTACTATCACTAGTACCACCTCCACCGCCATTGCCACTGACACTAATACAACAACTAGCACATTAGTTTGAAGGTCGCAATTACACATAATAAAACATTTTCTATTTCATAGAAACTGTTTTACGCCGAAACAAATAGTGAGATACAAATAAGAGCAGAATCAATATACTAATGCCCTGTTTGGTACAGCTTTTATTCAGCTTATTTCAGCTTTCAGCTTAATTTAAACTATTTTGATGTATTTAGTTTAACTTAACAACACAGCTTATATCTTTTTGTAATCTTTTTGTAAGTCAGAAATCAGCTTATTTTTTGAGTGGGGCAGGGGAAGCTTAATTTATAACACTTTCCTACAGCTCTATCAAATAGGGCCTAAGCATACCCATTTTCAAATCATACAAACCACATGCATCCACTAAACTAAACCCACAAACCCAAATCCATAACACAACCAAGAATGCATATATCTACATTACACACACATTGAATTAGTGAATTAGAGCATACCCATATTCAATTGCCTTGAAGATTTCATACACCCCTTCACCAGATCATCAATCTCCTCCTTGGTCAGAGGCTCCCCCAATATCTGCTCCCTTGACTTCACATACTTAGGACCAGACCCAGGCAAGAACGGCCCGGGCGACTGCACCGGCTTGACCCCCTTCTTGTGAGGAGGCGGAAGCCGAAATGAATCGAATTCCAGCTTCTTCTTGGAGGGCGGAAGCGGCTTCCGGCCGGTCCAGGGCCTGGGAATCGTGGAAGGGCCAAAGGGAGCAATTGGGGGCTCACGGAGTTTCAAAGGCTTGGCCTTTGGAGTCTCAGTGTAGCTATACTGAAATGCAAAGGGAGCATTGGGGAGAACATAGGAAACGCCGTCGTCGCTGACTTTGACGCCGGTTTCGGCCTTTTGGGATTCGGTAGGAACATTGACGACCCTTGAAATGGGGCGAAATGCAGGGTGGGTCGTTTGTCTAGGGTTTTTGGAATACTTTGAGGATTTGCCGGGAATGGAAGGGAGAGAGGGGGTGGAGGGTGTTCCGGTGGACCTGAAGGTGTCGGTGGTGGCGGTGGTGGTGGTGGTGGTGATGATTTTGTCGGCGGAGTTGAAGCGTTTGAGGCGGCGGAGTTCGTCTTCTATATCTTGTTGGGTGCGGTCTTGGCGGATGAATTTCTGGGCGTTGGCGTTGTTCCACCGCGAGAACCGGACTTCGGTGGCGGGACGGTGGTGGTGGTGGTGGTGGGTGGTTGGGTTTGGTGGAGCGAATATTGGGAATTGAATCAGGGTTTTCAACGCCATTTTTCTTGATTAATTGGGTTTGTTTTCAACTGAAATTGATGCGAAGAACACTGAATTGTGTTCTGGGGTTCCTCGGCTCTCTCTCTCTGTTATGGTTCACTGCAAGCAGATAAAGGGCCTGTTTGGTCAGCTGAAATTGGATAATTATCAACCAGAATTTAAAAGTCCCCACTTTCTTATTTCTCAATAATTAGAGGTCGTTTGAGTTGTGTTAAATAAGTATTTTTTGTTTTTTTAAATTAAAAAATTGAGAAAAAATTATGAATGTTTTGATTAATTTTTTGTCTTTTTATAAAAAAATGTGTAATAAAAAATTGTATAAATAAAGTATATAGGAGAAGAAAGTTGAGTAGGTTGTACGGCTACCCTGTTGGGGGCAATATGTCTTACACAGTAAATTATTGTCTCATTCGGGGCAAAGTGTTTGGACAGTGATGGTCGGTCCGTGGAGGCCACCACGGGTCCCATTTTAATAATCTGAACCGTTCAATATGTACAACTCGTTGAGTATTATATGCATTTAAAAAATCACGTTGATCGGACATCGATAGCTATATGATCGGATTAGTTTTTTTTTCAACAGTTAACTGTCACATCATCCGTTTTGTTTATACAAAACTGATTTGATCATATAGTTAACGATATCAGATCAACGTGATTTTTTACAGACATATAGTACTCGATGAGTTCTACATATTGACGGTTCAGATTATCAAAATGAAACCCTTAGTGGGCCCCCAAGGGCCCAATATTACCATTAAACTCTGCGGCTTTACATTTGTAATTTTTTTCTCCCCAAAAGTGTATGACCTGCCTTCCTACTGGGGTAGTACGGCTGACAATGTAATGAAAATTTTTGTATTACAAAAATGTATAAAATATTTTTTTAATATTTTTTATTTGTGAATAATAATGACTTTTTTGTTTTTTGTATAACTTTTTGACTTCTTGAATTTTTTGAGACTTGCCAAACATGGCCTTAATTTTTTAATTTAATTAAATTATTAACACAAATTATACCAAATAATTTGACACATATTTTTAAAATAAAAAAACAAAACTATAAAACAATCCAGAAACTATACTAAGGGTTGTTCCAAAGTGTTATGAAAAAATGTAAAATGTGGGTTGAAATTGAAGTGATGTGGTAGAGATTGATTAGTTTTTTTTCAATAGTTAACTATCACACCATCCGTTTTGTTTATATAAAACTGATTTGATCATATAGTTAACAATATTAGATCAACGTGATTTTTTTACAGGCATATAGTAATCGACGAGTTGTACATATTGAACGATTCGGATTATCAAAACGGAACCCTTAGTGGGCCCCCAAGGGCCCAACATTACCATCAAACTCTGCGGCTTTACAAATGTAATTTTTTTTTTCCCAAAAAGTGTATGACTTGTCTTCCTGCTGGGGTAGTACGGCTGACAATGTAATGAAAACTTTTGTACTACAAAAATGTATAAAATATTTTTTAAATATTTTTTATTTTTGAATAATAACGACTTTTTTGCTTTTTGTGTAATTTTTTGACTTTTTAAATTTTTTGAGACTTAATAAACATGACCTTAATTTTTTAATTTAATTAAATTATTAACACAAATTATACCAAATAATTTGACACATATTTTTAAAATAAAAAAACAAAACTATAAACAATCCAGAAACTATACTAAAGGTTGTTCGAAAGTGTAAGATTATGTAGACATTCCATTTTTGACCGTCTTCAAGACTTGGACGTCACCGTTTGAACATTCGGTGATCATCCTTGTTTGTGTTCGTCTTGAGTTCCCGGAGGCCTCAGCCACGCGCCTTGCCTCAAGACCTCTCGACTTGACTGTTTTGTGTTTGGTTTTGCACCAAACACTTGTGTTTTACTTTTGAGGGGCAGGGAATAGCTTGTTGGCCATCCCCACACCTCACCGGCCATGGCTTGAGGCCACCGGCCATGTTTTGTTGCTACCGGCTATTAGTGATGGCCGGCCGACAATCTTTGTGGCTGGCCGACCATTGTTTTGGTCAATTTGGAATTTTTGGCTGGCCGACCACTGTTCATCTGCTTTTGGCAGATATTTTGTGCCAGCTATGCTAGTTGGCATCCACTTTGCACCCCCTCCATACACGTGTATGGAGGGATGTCACTCTTGCTTAGCTTGTTTTGTAAGCTTTGCAAGAGTGAAGCTCTATAAAGAGGAGGCTTCTCTCCCCTCCTCTAGGGTTACAAAAAAAGTTCCAGAGAGCTCTGGTTCTAAGGTTAGCATAATGTATCTATTCTATCTCTATTTCTCCCTCTCTTTTACTCTAAGTGTGTGTTTGTCCTTAGTTTTGCACTAGAACGCCTACCATTACACCTTACCTTGATTGCTGAGGCATTAGGGGGCTGTCCTTAAAGTTCTTGAGTTGTTTTGGAGCTAAGAAAGCTGCTGGAGTGATCCTTGTGAGGAAGGTCTTCAAGGGTAAGATTCTTGCCATTTTTACCCCATTTTTGTATAGTCTTTTTGCCTACCTTGCTTGCTGTTTCAAGCTTAGTGTATAACATATAAAAGTTTTGTTTTTACTTGCTTAAAATAGTTGTTTAAGGTTGCTTTGAGCTTTGGAGTTGTTTGACCCCTCTTAGGCCTTGTTAGGCCCTATTTTTGTGCTATTTTGGTAAGCTCCGGGACCACCTTGTTTAGACCTCCTCACCACTGAAATCTTGAGGGATTTCAGTGGTGAGGGTGGTATCTTAAGGTCCTAAGGAGGAGAGGGTCATCCCCTCTCATTGTTGCCTTCAAAAAGTGTCATGTTTGCCTCATGTGTGAGCACCATTTTTAAGTTCATGTTGGCCATGTCTTAAGTGTTATTTGTACTTATTTTTTTATGATATAGCACTGTTTTTACTTGGTTTAGACACATCATGCTTGCCTTGCATACATGTCTTGTAATGTCATGATTTGCCTTAACATGTACATAGCATTTAGACTACCATGCTCATGTGTTTTGGCCTAGCTTTGTGAAGCTTTTATGTTTGTTTTAGTGTGCTTGAGGTCTGTTCTTAGTCATTCGGGTCGTTCATGCTTCGCTTTGTATAGCTACCATGTAACACCTCTTGTATGCCTTGAGCATTGACCCCTCTAGCATGCCATCCTTGCTTTGTTTCAGTGGTTTGGGACCACTTGCCATGCCATTTTAGTCATACTGGTGTGCTTGTATGTTTACATTTGATGCCCCTTTAATGTGTTAAAAGGTTGTTGTCTTGCGCCTCATGTTTGGACCCTTTTATATGCTTGCATGTTTAGACCATTTAGATGCCATCTAGGTGTGTCATTGGTCTTGTTTAAACCTGCATTGGGGCTGTTTGGAGTCCCCTTGGCCCTTTGAGGCTTGGTTGGCATGGCCATGGTTTGAGCTCTTTGGTTGGTCTCAAGCTTTGGACTTGTTAGCATGCTTTGATTGCTTGGCTTAGGTTGGTTTGGCACCATCCTCATGAGTTTTTCAGAGCTTAATATGCATGCCATGTGCCCATGATGTTTCTCTTTTAAGTGTGCTTAAGAGTCTCTCCTTTATGCTTAAGTGTTGGTTCATTTGCATGCATGATTGTATGTGTACTTGGGCTCATTTCCTTAGCATTTGGCCACTGTTTTGGGCCTAGTTGAGAGCTGCCCAAATTAGTTTAAGATCATTCTAGCATGTTGTTGCATGCTTGCCCTATGTGTTGTTGCATATTTGGCCTTGTTCCATGCTTGTTACATTGCATTTTGCATGTTTGATACATTGCACCTTTACATGCTTAGGTTGTAATGCATTTGACATGAATTGTACTTAACATGTTGTCCATGTTGCATCTTGCATGCTTACATGGTTAAGATTACACTTTGCATGTTTGCTAACTTGCATACTTGCCCACATGCTCATGTTGCATACTAGCTCACATGCCTAGGTTGCATCGCATTGAGCATGCATGCTTCGCCTCTTGAATTGAGCATGATAGAGGTTGGGCTTTATGTGTTTATTTGGTTTGCATTGCATTTGAAATCAAATGCACAACTCGGCCTCTTTGGCCATTATGCATTGAAATGCGCGATTGGTGGTCCGAGGGTCGAGTACCAAACTCCTTTGAGTCATAAACATGATAAGGAGTGTGGTTGGTGTAAACATTGCTTGAAATGCATTGCCATGCCATGTTTTGCCCTCTGCTGCTGTCAAAATAGGTTTCTGCAGGAAGCTTTGGCCGGTCAACCATATACAGTGCCGATCGACCAATTATGGATGGCTGATAGCTCCATGGATGGTCGATGACCACCCTGCCATGGCCGGTGATAATTCCTTATGGCCGGTAGCATTCCCCAGTGTTCATAAAGTGCTCCCTGGGACTTTTGCAATTTTCAGAGGAGCAGAGTAGGGAAAACAGAGGCAGCTTGTGCATGGCATTGGATTTCCAGGCGAAGCCAATCCGAGCACGTGTGCATCCCTCTTCCCGAGGCCTTTTAATGTTTTCCTTAGCCTAATTGATTTGTTAATTAATTAGATGGTCTGTAAATTATTTAATTAGCTTGTAGGTTAATTAAAGTGTATTATTCTTTTGGTCCCTCTAAACGAGGGCGAATTTGTAATAAGTGTGGGTGCGTTTGTGCGTGTCTTCCAACCCCCACTTCTTTCTCCCTTTTACTTACCTGCTTTGATGGTTCGTATTAGGACATGTTTAATTTAGCATCCTTATGCTATGCTTGCGTGCATCCATTCATTTGTATTGCATGCACTGGGCTCGGCGCATCATACTAACTGCATAGTATTTCAAATCTAACTTGAATACGTGTTACTTGTTGCATTCCACATGTCACTCTTAGATTAGCCGAGCCTATTCTAATGACATTCTGCATGCGATGCATTAGCCATTTGTTAAACTTGGACTAGGATCATGCATGATTACTAACTAGTTCATTATTTTGGCACGGAGTACGATGTAAGTATTATGCTTTAGCATCTCGCACGAGTATGAAAGTTAACATGACAGCATGCTTACCATGTGGCTATGTGCTTATGTGATATTACTGCCTGAATGCCTGTGGGTGAAGGTTGGATTGTTTGAGTTGGAACAACTCATTGAAATTCGTGTTTTAGCCTACTCGTGAGTAGCAGATTTCAAATCATTTCCAAA